ACAAATGTGATTTAATGGCTGCTTCTGGGGTTTTTTGATGGTGATTTTTTTGGAGGGTTTTTTTCTTGTAGTTGCAATTCAGTTCAGAAAACATGTTGGAAATACTTAACTGAATTTTCTGTGGATGATGGGATAATTACAAACTGAAGATTCCATGGCATAATTTCTAAATTTCTGTGCTTTTCTGACTGCTTTCCTCCTGACTATGACCAAGAGTTCAGATCTTTCTGCTATTGGGTTTTCATCTTTTACTTTCCTTCCCTGAAGTCTCTAGCGTTTATTTCACAGACCTAATCTTCTATTTGCATGTTAATATGCTCTGTCCTTCCCATCACTGTTGTGGCCTTATTTTTATGCTGCGAGGTCTACCCTGCAATCTTCAGTTTTGATTCAGTTTTAACATATGCACCTCTACCTGTCTGCAAACCACCCCTGTTAGAGAAAGTTCTTTTGACCTACTAGTAGACTGTTGCAAAATGAGATAGTTAAATGTGTATGCTCCACCTTTATTATATTTTTCTTGTTTTATCTACTGAGTAAACATCAAATGTGGTCTTATTATTTGTGTTCTTACATATAACATGTCTTCTCAGAAGGGTTTAACTCCAAAAATATTATAATGCACCAGGCTGTGTAAACATGAAGGTCAAGACCAGAGCCATATCAGTTGTTTACTGACCCTTTCAGGTGCCTTGAGGTTGTGAGTTTTCTTTATTGGATGCTGAAATTTGTGGTTTATTCCAGTTGACTGTATCGGACATTTAAACTCACTCTGAAAATTAGGGAGAAAAATCGGTTAGTCTTATCTGGGATACATAGACCTTTAGTTGTTTAGAATGCTATATGGAAGAGTAAAGCCTACTTCTGTGAAAGGAAATGATGAAAATTGTTGTAGGAGTATATTGGAAAGTCTTAAAGAGTTCAGATGTGAACCCCTCCTTGGGCTAGGGAGAAAGAATGGAACTCCATGGCACTCAAATTTCACTGTAAAATTTATTTTAAGGATTTGGTGAGTGACACAGTAATAGCTGCAGACCTGTCAACATCAATTATCAAGGTTTTGTAGTAGTTATGAAAGATACTACTGTGGGAGAGTACAGAAGGCTTTGTGTACCATTACATGCCTGCTTTGCTTACCTAAGCTGTTTAACAAATGGTAGGTGTAAAGAATCATTTTTGCAGCATCATACTTCAGTTTTTTTTGGCTAACTTCAGGGGAATTTATTTGGATTCAAAATGCTTTCGTTCATTAGAATTAAGCAACTTGAACATCTTGAGCTTTCTGAGGTTTGATTTTGTAGAACAACATTCAGTCATTCTACTGAGGGATCGTTTTGAATTACTAGAAGCAAGAGAGAGTAGTTTTTACATATATGAGAAGATAATAGCCAAGATTGTCTTGCAAAGGGCATATCCACAGTTGTGCTGTGTGCCTGTTCTCAATACTGTCTGAGCCTGTTGAATACTTTCAACAAAACATTAAAAAGTAGGTGAGGCCCCTGAGATCAGTTGTGTTTGCGTGAGATTTTGGGAAAAGACAGCTATGCATGGGAGAGGTTCCATGAATGTCCTTTCTGAGGAGAAGACTGCCCAAAACAGAAGAAAAAGGTCAGCTGTATGCCTAGATGCCAGAAAAGCTAGTAGTTACGTCTGACTCTTTTTTGCTTTTTTTGTATATACTACCTGTATAGAAAGCTTCAGTTAGAACTCTGTCAGGGAACTTTGTGAGGTTAATGGTGTCCTGTGCTTTTCCAGCGACTCTTTCTGCTGCTTGCTAGTTTTGTTTTGTTTTGTTTTCTTACGGTGCCTGTTAGAAGGTGTTTCTTTGGACTTTTTATTTTCTTTTCTCAAAACTTGGATTTCAGATATATAGAAGGGTATCAATAGGACTGTAAGATCAATCTTAAAGCTACACTTGAGCAGTAATCCTTATTTTGCAGTTCTAACAACAGTTCTGAACTTTTCCTGAAGAATTGAAAGATGAGTTTTCAGAGTGGTTTTCTAGGACTTTGTGTTAGACCTCCCCCATTTTCCCCTTCCTTTCTTTTATATATAGCAATTTTCTTCCTTTAGGTAATTCAATTCAACGGTATGTGTCCTCACATTGTCATTTTCTTTTTCAGCTGTAATTGTAGTTATATGTTGGCCCACTCCCAAATCGGTGCTTTCTTTCCTACCTTTCCATTAGTTATTGGTAAACGTTTGTTCAGTTTTGCTCTTCAGACACATTTTTTGACTGCCTTAGCTTAAATTGCCTTTGGAGGTGCCTGATTTCACGATTGCAATAGATGTGTGTGATACCAGTTTACCTGTAGCAGCTTTAGTCGGGCAGTTGTACTGCAGTGACTTGTGAAGACATGGTAACTTGCTTGTTATTTTGTCACATTATGGACTTTGTTGATTGTGTTGTGGTATATTTTGTTTATGCTTTGTTCGATTATTTTGCTTTGAAGCCAGATTGCAGAAAGGCTTTCTTTCTAAATAGATTTAGAGTAGTGAGGGATGGATAGGAGGGTTGATATTTATCACGAATACTAGTTTAAAGAGATAATCAGGCCAATTAAAACCGATCTAATATTTAATAAGCGTCTATTTGATGAAACAGCTCCATTGTTTTTCATCAGCCACAGCTGTTGTAACTGTTATCTCTGTGGAGGCAGATCTCTTGTTATGTAGGTCACATCAAGGAAAAATAGCAGCTGAACACTTGCTTCAAGTATTGTAAAGGAAAGTGCAATGGCAACATTGTGTATGTTCCCATTGAAATGTTTCAGAATAGCAAGAGGCCGTTGTGAAGTAAACTTTGGCAATTTGTATTAAGACATGCTGTGAAGGTGGAAAAGTAAGTAAAACAAATCCAAACATCTAAATAAAAGTAATTTGAAAACAGAGGTCCTTGAGGGAAGTTTTAAATCAGAGGTAAAGGAGAGTATTTATAGGCTTTGTGCTCAAGCTTCCCTTGAACTTAAATAGTAAACAGGCTCTTCAGTTTTCATTCTGTTTGTGTGCCCAGCAAAAATTTACACTTTTTTTGTGGGGAAGGGGAGAGGGTAACAATTCCTGCTGCTTGAGTTCTGAAGCTGTCAACTGCAGTGGCTTTGCGGATGATGTACATTGACTACATACACTTCCTGATTCTTAATTTTTTTTCCACATCCTTTCATGATGGTAAAAAGAGAGAAGCTTCTTGAAGGGGAAGGATAATAATTAAGAAGAAAAATAGGGAGAGTATGGCAGTTATTTCTGAGACAAATAACATATTTGATATAACTTTGGCAACAAGTGTAATTTTTAAGGAATGACACCTTGTATTAGCATGCCACATTCACCCATGGTACAGATAAAAGGACTTGTTTTGGAATATTCTGATACAAACACACGGTTCAGTGTGCTGTATGGAGGTGGTAGCAGTCAGAGAATTTCTTTGATGCAGGGGTCTTAAGCACGTGGTAACTCCAAAATCGAGCTTTGTGCCACTTCCTGAGAGTAGGTCTGCTGGTGAGCTCAGTAGTAAGATTTAACATCGTTGTTACTAGTAGAAACAATAAAGCAGTTTCTGGACCATGTTAAGTGAATGTGGCTGATTATAGTGCTGATAACTATTTCCTTACAGTTAAAGTGTGAAAAATATTTCAATTTTAATGTGTACACTTATAATGCAAAATTTGCATGAGGGTATTTAGTATATAATGTCACTAGACATTTGGTAGACTGGTGTTCTGTGAGACTAGGATGATGTCACACCACTATACCTGCAGGTTTTACTAATATTCATGTATCTTTACTAGATTGAAACAGCTTAGAAATCAAATTCTGGACTTCTGATAGCAGTGTTTTTATTTTCTGACTAGGAGTCAGGCACTAGTTCTTTTGCTCATAAATGAGTTTATGTAGAATACAAATTGCTACATTATGTATAGTTTCAGTGTAGGATTCATCCTAAGGCACAGTCAGGAAGGATGTATGACTTGAGTTTTTCCAGTGCCCTTGTAAAGCTTCCGTCTGATCTCTGTATCTTGTTTGCTGTTTTCTAGCCATTGTGTTCATTATAGGTAAGATTAATACACAATTTTTTCAAGTATAATTATGTGGGGAATAACTGAATTGATAGTAAGCTTGTATCATTGTGATATATCTGGATTTGCGTTTTACATCTAGAAGAGCTAGTAACAAATAATGTCTGAGCATGTATTTCTATCTAAACCCTAGGTCTTTCCTGATTGCTTGTCTCATTTATTTGACAAACCTCAGTTATTATTTTGAGGAATGTTTCTTCCCAGTGTTTACACTTATTAGCTTGTGGTGTAGTCTTTTACTGCCACTTAAAGATATCATTTGACAGATGGGATAGATGCGAATTTTTGGTTTTAACCCTATTCTTCCTTCTCATGTCACTTCCTGTGCTTGTTATATTTAACCTTTTTTCAGTAAGGATTCCAGTTTAGTATCTAAAGTGTTCTGAAAAGTGGTATCAGTGTAAACACTAAAAATGAGGTGTTGCAGACGGCATAGTGTCAGGCAAATATGAATGTAGTCACTAAGAAGCATGTAAAGGGAGGCAATGTCTTGATTATCTTGTAAAGTGTAAATCATTACCTTATCAAAGTTGACTTCTGGATCTAAGGGTTAGCCATAACTCTATAAATCTGCCATACGTTGTATACTGGGTAGTTAATAAAACATGTTAGTTTATAGCGTCCCTTGAATTAAAGTGGGTGAAGGGTAAAGGGCTAGTGGGGTGAACTCTAAACTTGGCATTAAATTGAAAAAGTTCAGCACAGATTTTCTTTGTTAGCCTTTATGTATGAGGAGACTTAGCTATTTTTATTTCTTCCAAGCCTTCATCATTTAAGAATCCAATGACTGTTGCACATTTGAGGGAATAAATGGTGGTATGTGAGTATCAATGCAACATTTGTGACATAAGGATGTTTTTAAGGAAACCATAAAAACACATTTCATTGCTTACTAAAACTGAATAGAGCCTGAAAAAGCAAACACTTCCTATACTAAAAGTATCTTGTTGTATACTTATCAAATAGGAACTACTATGTTATCATGATTTCTTGTAGGCAATTAAAATAATTAAGCTATCTGTCATGCTTTCTAATCAAGTGTTCTTATTCTAGCTGACAAATCCAGACCACCTTCATCAAGCCCTTCCAGCATTATTCGCCGGACTTCCTCACTGGATACACTTGCTGCACCATACCTGGCTGGACAGTGGCCTCGTGATAATCACGGACAAGCTGCTCCGTGTATGAGAGACAAAGCCACACAGGTAGGGTGGATTTTTGCCTTTGACGTATTTAAATGTGAAGACAGGATTTAAATGGAAGAAGCCTTTCCCTTGAAAACGTTCACTTTAGCTTTCTTGCTTGCAAGTTCCTATTCACTTTCAAAGTGCAGGCATCCTACCATTGCTATTATGTATGTGAATTATTTGCATTCTTCACTAAGAAGCTGTGAACTATAATATCTGTTAAGAGTTATACTTTGTTCTTGCCTCAGAAAAACACTAGTGTATTGCACATGTGTTTTCTCATTGTTCTTACAGTGTGCTCTACGATAGATTGCGCTGGTGTGACGTACTATTTAGTTTAGATTTGTACAAGACAATTTAGGGACTCCTTATATGTCTGTCTGTCTTAAAACTGAATAAAAAAGCTTCTGTAGTGCCTGTATAGAAGTTATTGTAGCCTGTGATAGGCTGTTCATCCTCTATTTTTAAAAGGCCGTTAATGTTCACCTGAGATCTATGCATGAAATATAGACAATTTAGCTCAGCTGGGAAGTGTTAAAAAAGTACATGATTTGCCAGTAATTTTCTACAACTTGGTAGAATTTGACAAGTTTTTAATGGTTCAGTCCTATGCCACCTGTAAAGACAGAACCAACAGGCAATTGAATGAAACCCATGTTACAAGAGTTATATGCTTATCATGACAGTTGTTTTATTACTTCCCTTACAGGGAGCTGTTGTTATATGGTATCCCACTGTATGCAGAAGTGATTCAAGATAGATTTTTCCATAAAATATCCCAGTGTTTAATTTCCCCTTCTGTGGGTGTAGTCTGGCAGGGGATTTTGCTAATTTGTAGAGTGAGAGAAAAGCCAAGCATATCAGATTTTAAATCCCTATTCCTAGACTAGGTCTCCACTGATTCCGAAGGACATAACGGAAAAATGCAGTTGGAAGAGAAACCAACAGCATGTGGCTCCTACCTGAGTTTGAGCCTGCCTTAGGTTTGGTAATGCTAACAGAAGTGTGGCCACATCCGTTTCAGTGTACTGTCTACTCAAATGTGTAGGATGTTGAGTAGATGATGACTGCAGCATTGGTTGTTACTGTATGGCCTTCTCAAGATCCACAATTTGCAGAAAGAACCACAATTCAAAGAGCAGATCAGTAGAATAGTAAGGTGTTAGGGAATATGCCTGTGTGGATAAAGTGGAAATAGAAACTGGTGAAGAAAGGAAAGCTGAGGAACAAGTTTTCTATGCAAGCAAATGAATTGGAAAAATGCTTAGAAGATGGGGTGAAAAAGGTAAACAAATCATAGTAAGAGGAGAGGATGAATGAGGGTGTGAGGGTGTATGATATACAAGAAACTGCTGTTCGTGCTTATCTATTACAAGGCCTTGGTAAAGGACAGAACTAAACCAGTGTGGGTGCCTTAGCTATTTATTTGATTTCTTAGGATAATATTTTTTTCAAAACAGTTATATTTCTATACTACTGCCAAAGTACTTGCTATATTCAGTTGATCTCTTTCATCTTAGTTACAGTTTAATCTGAGTCATGGTTGGGCTTTTGTAATCTGTGTATTTTGCAGCTAGAAATAATCCTTTTTGGTTTACATTTTTCTTTTGTCTTTTTCATCCAATTCTGATACATCTAGGTGCTATGATAGTGAGGCTATCATAAGGGGAAATGTATTTGCAAAGATTAATGGGAAGACTGTAAAGGGCATTGGATATTTCTGCAGAATTAGTATATTTTGTGTGATTGATGTTTGTATACTGCTGAGGGAAATAAATAATCTCTTTGCACTTCCTAATTTAAAATTTATCAAACCAGTAGAAATCTTTGGGATACGGACATACATCTGTACCTTCAGAGCTTGTGTTGATATGACACTGATGAGATATTGTTGCTTTTAATCTTTCTGGTGTGCTGGAGAGCAACCATTTGAGCTAGGGACAAGTTTAAATACAATAGCTGTTTCCCAAGATAGTATAGGCTCTTCATTTGTATTGTTTAGCGTTTCTGAATATGTGGTGTTTGGATGAAGTTTCACAAGATATTCTGGCTCTAGTGTGTAACTTCAGATTTCACCGAGTCTTATGTGAAATGGGTGCATTCAGATTTCAAAAGCTTACGGAACAGGAATTGAATTTATTAAGATATAAAAGATTTTTCAAGTTGAGTAAGCAGGGTATCTTGATTATGTGGTTTATGGCATAGGGTTGTGTAGGAATCAGACTGGGCAATTATTGACACACTTTGGCTTGCGGGCCTTTACAGGGATGCCCATAGGTTATAGCTGAGAGCAGTATAAGAGATCCCAGGTCACACAGAGATTCTCTGTGTATCAGACTCATGCTTCAACTGATTATTTTGATGAAACCTGTCTGTAAAACCAGACTGAATTATGTACATGCAGAATGTTTGTTGGATGATGAATAAGTGTCTTATTGAGCATCCTAGGGTCTGACTAGAATACATACATGCAGATATTGCTTTAAGTGCTGCTAAAACAGGTGTTTGTAATCTTGTCTTTCCCCCCTTGAATCAAACTAGTTTACCTTTGCCTGTGGCTGTTTGAAATAAAGCTATGTCAAAATACAAGTTAAGATGAGATAATTGCTTTGTATTTTTTTTAATTCTTAAAGAAAATAATACATTTCACTGCAGAATTTTTGCCTCTAAGACTTCCAAGTGTTTTACTATATGTGAGAAATTTAGCCTTAAACTCATTTCTCTTTGTAATTCTAGAACAGGCAGAAGAGAAGGATGTTGTGAATGTTAACAACTAATAAGCAAGTAGTAGTACTTTAAGAACCTACAGAAACAGAAATCCCTCTTTCTCTATTTGTTATTGGGTCAGTGTTTCTTGAAAATAAGTATAATAAAATACAGGGAAGAAGTAGAAAGAGAGCTGATAAAATAGTATTACATTTCTGTCTTGATGTAAAGGTTTCCTCTAATTTAATGTCTTACACCTACTCTTGCTCTAAAAAGATTTCTATTTGTTTTGAGGATGGGCATCAAAGCCACCTTTAATCCTTTAAAGTGAATCAGATATTAATTTATGAAATAAGTCTTGAATCTTAAGTCAAAGTCTTGAATATGAATTTAATGCAAAGACTAATTAGAGTGTTAATGAGATACCTGTAGGCAAGTGTAATGGTTGTGCAGAGTTGGGAAGTTAAAATTAGTGACTGAAACTTACTGTCCCAGGAGCTAGAGGATAGGATGAGACTCCAGACTGACATTTGAGAATTGCCTAGACAAAGATTGGTATTTGGGGATGGGGGTTATCAGTTTTTCCATTTTATGGTGAAGATAAGTGAGTGCTTTTCTAGAAAAACAGATTCTAATGGATTCCAATGCTGATATGAAATAGGAATTTCAAAGCAACCCTACTAACTTTGTTATACAAATCTGTCCTAGTTAGGTTTTGGCTTGGAACAATGATGATGGAAAATAGTGGAAGTTTCATTTATATTTGTAACTGAAGCCAATGGGAGTTGCAACCTGTCTGTTTGGAGTTACACCTCCATTTCCCCTGCAAAATGGGGGGTTAATTGTCAAAGGCCTGGTGAATTTCTGTGTTCTGAGTACAGATGGGGTAAATAAGGTGTCTTGCAAGCTGTTTATCTCAAGTGTAAGAACAACTGTTGCAAACTGTAGATGTGAAGGATTTGACGGATTTGAGTTAATCAAAGTTCCTGTCTATAGGAGAATGTGAGATCAATGACTCTTCAGGCTGGGTTAGCTAGATCATCACTGTGTGGTAACAACTGCACTGTGACAGCAGTGAATTTAAAGGAATTCGCTGTCTATTTCAGTGTGCAAGCTGCTTCCAGAAATCTTTCCCCTTCCTCCATTAGGTATATTTCTTGTGACTGCATGGAGATTCTTGATAGATGTTATTATCCCTTTTCTTAGAGCCTTTACAGTTCACCGCTTTTCAAGGCAATTCTGAACATGATTAGGTGGGAATACAAACTGTCCAAAAGCATGCAGTATTATCACAGGCTTGCCTGTGCATTTTGTTACCTTAAATAAATACAGTTTGTCTTCATAATACTTTGAATTTCTCAGAACTTTTTCACTGCAGTATGTTTGCAAGTTTCTTTATTAAATATCAATAACTTTGGTAGCTTAGTGAAACTTAATATTAAGTTGGATGATGCTTTGAGCAACCTGATCTAGTGGAAGGTGTCCCTGCGCATGACAGGGGAATTGGAACTAGATGATCTTTAAGGTACCTTCCAACCCAAACCATTCTATGATATGATGATTCTGTGATTATCTGTGTTGCTTTGTGCTTGGCCTGAGACAACTATGAACCTGAAGCCCTTTGAGGCATTACAAAATTAATTCCTTGCTTTGCAGTAGCTCTAGTGGTGCTTAGATGCCTCACCTTCCTTTTTCTCATTCTTCTGAGCAAGAACATGATTCTGAAGCTATCCTGATGCAGGCTTTCACAATGTTTACACCAAGCTACCCTTGCTAATGCATCAGAAGTAACAAGGTCAGCATCTGTGCAGGAAATAAAATAGACCATCTCCCTCAAATTCAGCACTGTTGTCCTGGTTCTTCCGAGCTCTATAGCAGCTTGTGATACATCTGGCTGTTAATACTGCCTTATGTTCAAGAATTTGGAATGGAAACTAGCACGTTCCTTTGTTGGAGTAGGTCTGAAAGCTGTGTTTTCATGTTGGTTTTTTTGTGTGGGTTTTTTTTTTTTTTAAATATAGTTTCACTCTACTTTTTCATACATTACTTGTCAGACAGGCTTCTAGTCAGTGATTGCTTTTCCCTCGCAGTTCTGACTCTTTAACAAATCTTAACACTGTTCTTTCTTCTAATTTGCCTCAAAATATTCTGCCAGAATGTAGGAATTACATTTTTAAAATTAATCCTGTAATCTTCTTGCTGCAGACAGAAAGTGCCTGGGCTGAAGAATATTTGGAAAAGAAGAGAAGCTCACACAAACGTTCAGCATCATGGGGCAGCAATGATCAACTCAAGGAGGTCAGAAATGCTATTATCTGAGATACCTTTGGATTAAATATTTTTACTGGTATGCACTGTTACTGTGAGTTTTCAGGAAGGCATGACTACTGTACTGCTTTGTTGTACAGATTGTGAGCTTGGTAAAAAATAAGAAATAGCTGTTCAAGTGGTATTGATTTCATTTAATAATGCAAGACTAAAAATTTTTAATCTGAATGCGTGGGAAAGGAAGTGTAAATCGCAGGTGACATGCTTCATCAAAACAGGAAATAGAGCAGTAACCAAACTACTTTCAAACTTTACGTATTTCAAGTTCTGTCATTAAACTTCCAGAGGTATCTTCTGGGCTTCAGCTGAACTGGTAGCTAACATGTCAGGTTTGCAAAAACTTAAGTCTAATTTAGTGCTGGCAATAATTATGAACGTTGTGTTAGTAAAGAATTTAAACTAAGTGATGGAATAAATTGATGGAAACAATGTGCATACCTGGAGATATATATGGTGAGTTTTTCCTCTATTAGATTGCAAAACTACGTCAACAGTTGCAGAGGAGCAAACACAGCAGCAGGCATCATCGCGATAAAGAAAGACAGTCTCCATTTCATGGTAACCATGCAGCCATTAACCACAGTCAGGTAAGGCTGTGTGCTTTTTGGACATTTTGGGTAGCCAGTACCGGTTTTAACTCCTTTCAAGGTTGTGATTTGTCTTAAAGGGAACTTAGAAATACCACACACTGCTAAATATGTTGTAGCTATAGGTGAATTCTGTGAAATAGATCCATTTCCTTTGACTTCCTTGAGTGTATGGGGTCCCTGATCTTTTTGTTATTTGGCTGTGTTGGCTTTGAACTCCCACTTTCAAAGAATTTCAGATAGTTAAATCCTTCCTTAAAGCAAGAGTTTTAAAGTGCTTTCTACAGACTCTACAAAAGGATGACAGATAACGTTTAATCTGAAAACTGTAGATTATGCATTGCTGTAACAATTATGAATTTGCCTGTAGAATATGGCATGGAGCAAACGTGGTGAAATGATACACTCAGATAAAGTTGTAGTTTTTGCTGATCACATTTTGTGTCTTGACAATAGCACTTCTAATCCTATGATGAACTGATTCAGAGAGCTTAACTGACAAAAGGCTATTCAATGGGATTTTTATGTGCTCTATTAAAAGTGTTTATACCCTGCTTCATTCAGCCTTTGTAAGATTTTTTTTTTTTTCTTCCCTGTCATTTATCATGCCTTGAGACTTTAAGTAGTAATCACTTCAAAAACTGTGATAGTTAGGCATCACATGTTCTGCATGCAGTTTTAGTTCTCTCTAAAGACTGTTAATGAGGTCAGATTTGCAGAGGTAATATTTTTAGCTCAATAGCAGGTGGAAAAAAATTACAGGCAATTAGACATACAGATCCTTTCTCAAGTCTGTTTTGCTTGAGTAACTTCAAGAAAACCAGTAGAAAAGTTTGGTCATTTTTTTAGAATAATTTTTTTTTTCCCCTACTGATATCTCCTGAACATATGTTTATGATACATACACACAGTTTTTTAAAAAATACTTCGTTACAGAAAGAACAAATCCCTCCCAATTGCCTTGCAAGTCAGTGTAGTTGAAAGAAATTGTGGAAATGTCAATGTTATGAATTGAGAAAATACTTCAGTAGTGAAGTTTCTCTGCAAATCTAATTGTATTCCAAATTACTTCTGAAATGCAGGTAGTGTTGTTCTTATATATATTGTAGTTTGATACCAGCTAATGAAAACTATTTCCTTTCTGCCATTCCATTCTTCTGGAAATAATTTAGGCCAGGGAAGGAAGATGATGTGACATCAGCACGTGTCCTGCTCTACATGTACTTACCCATACTGATAAAGGATGAAATGAAAAATAGAAGGGTGTAACCATACATAGTCCTGATCAGTAGCATCTTCTGTCTCAGACCTTAACTTATCTCTGCTGTAGTGCATTTAATTAGGAGTCATGAATTTCCAGGACATAAGTGCCTTTTGAATCCAGTTTGTTATTAGTTTGAATTCAGTGCTACTAGAAGTATTGTATTTAGGATTTTTTTTTTTTTTAGAATGACACTTTTTTGACATAACAATGTAGGAATTACTTATTCAAACTTTTAAAATTGCAAAACAAACTGTTTTGTTCTCCTCTTCTGTATAGCAGAAGAACAGTTTGAATTTGAAACAGGCTGTCAGGTATAAATTCCTACATTTTGATCTGCTTTACTGAAGTAGGGGTACAGTGTAGCATCCTGCTAATGTATGATGCAGGTATTTTATCCAAACTTGTAGAAGTTATTTGAGGATTTGTTCTGTACTTGTGGGCAACTGAGGCATTTCAACCAGAAAAAGAAGTGTACTGAGGAACTTCTGATGTAGACCTTTCCATACACTGAAGAATTACATGTAGTCTAACAGGTTTGGCTTGGTATTGTATGTGTAGGTTTCTGAATGCTAAACTGTTGTCACTTTAACATAGATAATCTTAGTGGTTTTTAATTTTGAAAATGAACAGTGATGCCACTACTCTTGAAACACAGCACCACCACCTCCGTTTTATGTATATAAATTTTTTTGGCATCATAATTATTTTATTATTATGCTCATGAAATTTTGTCTTGTATAGAGGTCTTTTTGCGTTCTGCCAAATTTTAGAGTATGTGAATAAAACATTGCACAACAGATAATTAGGTTTTGGGCTTGTGAAACTGACTATAAAATACAAAATGAGGCAAAGTAGCTTTTCCAGCATTGTGTTACAAAACAAACCATTGTTTTTCTTGGTAAATTTTGTGCCAGCTGAGTTGAGCTACTTGCAAAGGGGGGCAGTTACTTCAAAAAGAGTTAAGTGAAGGGTTTAGATTATCGGCATTTAGAGGCTGGTTTCTGAAAGTGAAAATCTGTACTGTAGGCATCAAGGGCAAAGTTCCTAGGCTTTCTCATTCCGTTCTAGAGAGCTGCTAGATTAGAATTTCTGGCAGCAGCTCAGTTCCTTCAGGATTTGTGGAAAGGACTCTGTGGAAAAACTTGCAGTTGGTGATTAGAATATTTAGAATTTTTTTTACATTCCCAACTTGAAGGAAACTTGTAGATGGTGGCTCCAGAGGGTCATACAAAGATTTCTGAGCTCAAGAAGCTGTAATCCTGACAAGGCCGAGAAAATGTGTTAGGAAATTGCCTTGGTAGTCTCTTCACAGAGACCAGGTAAACTCTGTTTAACATTCTGGAATTGGCTTACTCTTCTAGTTAACACTAAAAGAAGCAACTCCAGTGGATTTACTTCCTCTTTTCTTCCCTACTAATAAACACTTAAGCTCTGCCACAATTCTTAGAGTTTTAGCAAAATTTTTACAGTGGTTCTTACCACTTAAGCCTCTAACTGATTGTTTAGTTGTGCTTCTTTCTTCTATGATTTTTTGTTTAAAGAAATAAATCCATGCAATCTCTATGGGGATAAGCCTGTTAGCTATGACTGTCCCTCTACTCAAAATCAGGAAATAGTTGCTGAGAAATTTGAGCAAGTCCTTCTTGCCGATTACTTTTTTTTTCTCCAGAGTGATCAAATGGTTTTTTGCTTGTTTGTTGTTTTTTTTTTTTTTCATGATGCCAGAAATATTCCATTTTGCCTCTCTACATGAAGAGGGGTTTGCAGAAGTCACAGGCTCCTCTGGTGATCTCAGGATGCCTCTGAGAATGTTGGATTTTTCATTAATTGCACTGTACTAAATCTGTAAACAGGAGTCAAACCAGTGGGATCTTCCTTTATTCTCAGTGTTAATATAATGGAGAAACTAGAATCGAGGTCTGAGCTGAAGACAAATGGAAGAATAAATAGATTAGATCTTTAAAAATAATATTTTTTTCCTGGGCGTGCTTGGCTGATGCTGCTACTTGACACTATGAACTATCAAGCGCCCTTCTTTCGCTTTCCTGGAAAAGCATGTGTCCTTAATGTTTTACCAATTGATTGATCCTAAGCAACCACTACTATTGAGACCAACTGCATACAGTTTGCATTGGCGTGTTTTTTGTGTGTCACTCTTACCACCTTACATAGATGGAACACTTCATTTTTGGAGATGCTTTCAGCCTTGAGATGGTTTGATGCTAATATGCAAAAGCTTCAAAAGTCCTTGGATTCTGTTTAAAGTTCTGTTGCTTCGTGAAAAATTGGAAGAGCTTAGAGCATTTTTCTAAAATGCCTGTGAACAATTTAGGTTGGTCGTCACCCACATTTCTACTCTTATGAGTTTATGCCACACCTGTAAGTTTCAAGACTAACTGTCCTGCACCAAAACTCCCTGACAGTGTGTTGTTATGTGAGCACTGAAATTATTAGCCTGTGTTTGGCACCTTGCTTCATTTTGTGTGTTCCCAGCTGATGAGTGGTCAATTGTTGGTAGCCTATTCCTGTATGTCAGGGGCTAACTCCAGGCAGACCTCTGGAGGCAGTATTTCTAATATAAAGTTTCTTGTTTTGAGGCTCATTGTTCCGCTACTGTAACAATGCTTCCTTCCCTTTCCACCTTTCAGCAATCTGGGTTAATAAATCATCCTCAGTCATGTACAGAATGTTAATTCTCTTAGAAGTGAAACATGCTGTATTGAACCATAATGAACTCTGTTGGAGCAGCTTGGTGGTTTTCTACTTTGAGTTCCTTGAATAGGACCATGATTCTAAGAATTTCTGTGGTAGTCAATCATATTTAAAGGATGGAGAATTTCCACATTTTGCTAACGGCTGCTGAAATCTTAGATGAGCATACCTGTGTTCTGCTTTCTACTTTTTAGCAAGTTCATTTTGTCCTAAGAATGTGTATATTTAATAACTGGGTGCATAAACAGTCTTTAGTGCCTAAACTTGTGCTGATATATGTGTATTATGACTGGATATTGACCTGTATTTACTGGACTGTTGATCCAAGGCCTTGTTTGAAATGGAATTAGCAAGGTTGTTTTTACAGAGCTTTTTGTGCTCTTCTCCCATGGTTTCTGGGGTTTTTTTGGTGTGTGGTTTTTTGGGTTTTTTTTTTTTCATCTTCAGGCAACACTTTTGAAAATCTTTCCAAGTTTGGTCATTGTGAGAATGTTTAGTTTTTGTTGACATAAACAGTGTCACAAACATTTCCTGAGCAGAAGCTTCTGTAGACCTTGTGCAAGTCTTTTTTTTGTAGCTATCCTAATGTTTTGGTAAAGCAAAACCAATATAGTTTATGTTTTGCTGCCTTAGAGATTTGTGATTGTGAGAATGTCTGTATTGTGATTTGCACTTAGAATTGTCTTGTTTACATTCATTTTTCTAAGGTAGCTTTTCTGTTAGACAAATTTTGCATAGTTTTTGAGAATTCACATGCAAAGTCATGATGCTTTGGTGTTTGTCTATGCACAGTGTTGTTACTTAGAGGAAAAATAAAAAAAAAACAGGAACAAACCACTTTGAAGACCATGTGGGAATGCTACCATCCTTCGATCAGTAGAGGAGATGTTCTCAATCACAGCACTCTAGGTCACAGAGTCTAGGAATTTTACACAGGAATTCTACTGTGACTTTAAGTGTCATGCTGTTCTTGGAGTTGAACTAAATGTTTGCAGTAAGCATTCTGTTATCCGTAGTAGTATCCTGTATGATCACCAAGAGTCTGCGTTGAAGCTTAGGGCAGAATCTTCTAATTTTCTGCTAGCATGATTTTTTAACGGGGGAAGGATGCTAATGGAGAGGATGGGAAATCTTGAGAAGTTGTGGTGTACTAAAAGGACCTTTGGAAAACTTCAGTAGTAACATGTTTTTTGAGAATGGAATTTTCATGCATACTTTGAAATGATGTTTTTTAAAATGTTAATCCTCATTCTGAAGTAACTATGTGTTCACATTTGGGTTTGGGAGTTTATTCTTTCTGTGAAAGTCATTTTAAACTCTTTTTGTCAAACTTTTATTCTGACTTAATATAGTCACTATGTTGGTCTTCGTTTCTAGCTTAGTGCAATCTTACATTTGTGGAATAATTTTCTTTCTGCATGTGTCATGTTACTGTAGGTAACAACAGACTTCCATTAAAATACAGTTTTAATGAAATTTAAAAGTGCTAAATTCCACAGCGAAGGAAGTGAAATTGTGGTACAGCTCACTTAGAAGGAATGTGAATATATTTTAAAGGCTTCAAAATTACTTACATTTAAATGTTTACTGTTAAATTTTCACTTGTAAAGCAGTGTCAAGTTGGAGGCAAACTATATCAAGGGAAACTCTGAGACTAGACTGAAAAGCTTTTTCGCATCCATTTTAACGCAATCACTATGGTTTCATGTAAATCCTTGGTATTGAGGTATGGATGTGTTCTGTTTAAAGGCTCACTTTCGAGTAGAAATAGTAACTGTTTTGTAAGTAAATCTACACTGCTTTCTCACTGGTTTTGGTTCTTCAGGCTCCCATCCCAAAGAGTGCTCTTGTTCCTGTGATACCTATTACCAAATCAACAGGATCACGATTCCGAAACAGTGTAGAAGGACTGAATCAGGAGATTGAGATAATAATTAAGGAGACGGGAGACAAAGAGGAACAGCTTGTTGTATGTATCTGCCACCATGATTGCTTTCTATAATTTTTTTTTGGTTTTGCTTTGAGGTTTTTAAGTCATAAGCATTAGTTTGCACAGTTTTTGAATTAAATTTGTCTGGGACTAATTTTTTCTTTCTTTAATAAATATAGTTTAAAAGTCTCCTGGAAAGTAAAAAGGAGGAAAGAGTTAAAGCTTGAATCTGAACCTTTTCCTCTTTAATTATTGTGATGTAATTAGTTTTCCAATAAAATAAGAAGTCTTGGTTAAACAGGGGAAAAGACAAAACGTCTGTTTTGAGCACTTCTGTAGTAACTCTTTCTTCTCTGTGCTCATGCTGAACTGTCCCCTTCATGGTTGAAGCATAACTTGCCCATTTTTAACTTTCTTCTTATTTTTAGGCATTTTTAAAGGTAAATTTAGTTACAAAATATCAGAAATACAGGCCACAAAGATGATTAGGGGGCTGGAACATCTTTCATATGAGGAGAGGCTGAGAGAGCTGGGACTGTTCAGCTTTGAGAAAAGAAAGCTCAGGGGGATCTTATCAGATATTTCTACACATTGATGTGCAGAAATGAAGAGGACGGAGCTGGACTCTTCTCAGTAGTGCCTGATAACAGGGCAACAGTCAGCAGGCATTAATTAAAAAACATTACATTCTATCTAAACACAAGAACACTGTTTTTTGTTTTTGTTGTTTTTTTAAATGTGCAAGGGTATTCAAAACCGAAGTAAGTTGCCTAGAGAGGTTGTGCAATCACTGTCTGTGGAGATATTCAAAACTTGACTGGACACAGTCCTGGACAGGCTGCTTTAGCTGATTCTGCTTGGGTAGGGCTGTTGGACTAAGTGATCTCAAGAGGTCCCCCCTTCCAACCTCAGCAATTCTGTGATTCTGTGAAATCTTGAAAACAGTTGCCCTTAGTTTCTGAACCTGACATTTTATTTTCTATTGAAGTCTTGTGTAATGAATAAAACTTTCTACTTCAGTTTTATGAAACCTGAAAAACCCCTCAGAATTACTGGATTTAAAGAAGCTGCTAACCGGACAAGAGCAGCCATCTGATACCTTTTATTTTTAACAGCCTCAAGATATTCCAGATGGGCACCGTGCACCACCTCCGTTGGTTCAGCGTAGTAGTAGTACTCGCAGCATTGATACCCAAACGCCTGGTGGAGCAGACGTGGGTAGCAACAACAGCAGCCGCTCCCAGTCAGTATCTCCAACCTCATTTCTTACCATCTCTAATGAAGGCAGTGAAGAAAGTCCGTGTTCTACAGATGATCTTATTGCTGATTCCAGAGATAAAGGTACCGTGTAACTTGAAAAGTTCAACAATGCTAAACTTTAACTCATTGCTGTGTGCCTGAACACGTAGTAAAAGAGGGGATTTGTTTCCCACGTCCATGGAGAAATGATAGAATATTACTTGATTTGCAAGTGATCTGTTTTTTCCAAATTGCTCCAAATGCTGTGTGCACACATATCTAGCGCTCTGTAATTGAAGCTGAATTGATGTGATGGAGGAATGTGCTTCCCAAACAAGTTTTTGTTTTTAAATAATAGATTCATCAAGTACTTTAAGCTAGGTGGAAAAAGCAAGAGTGTACAACAACAGGTGGAACAGCAGTCGGCTAGTCCTGTTGCTTGTGTCAGGTATTTTTAATGATCTTGGACAAAATGGGCAACCTTCCAGCATTTCATACATGCACTCATAAAAGTTTAAATGTTTGGTGGTTTTTAACTACTCTTTTTTTGACCATAATCAGTTCTGAGATATACTAGGAGAATTTTATAATTCAACATAAACCTGTTCTGGTTTTTAAGGAATATTGCGTCTGCCTGTTTCTTTTGGCAAGATGGTTATGGCACAGGACCATAGATTGAGGTTTGCAGTTACAAACTGACAGTGTCCAGGAACTAACAGAGATTGCAGAGGAGCCCGAAAATTGTATAAGGAGAGATAGAAAGGAGGGAGGGGATCGAGATAAGAAGCTTATTTGCAAATGAGTACTTGGAGCCAAATGAAAAAGTTTCTTAATTTTATGACATTATTAATGAAATGTATTTCAGTTTGGGGGGCATTTGAAGATACTGGGGTTTTTTATAGTGTGGCACATTTAAGTAATGAGATACTCTGTTCCTGCAGAGAATGGTAATAATTCTCCCTTGCCAAAATACGCTACCTCACCAAAACCCAACAACAGCTACATGTTCAAGCGTGAACCTCCAGAGGGCTGTGAAAAGGTGAAAGTCTTTGAGGAAAGCTTGTAAGTTGATCTTTACTACGTAAGAAATAACATTCAACATTGAGTTACCTATTGCTTTATTGATTTTGTGTCAGATCAGAATTATTAGTTCAGTTGCCAAAACCATGTGAACAGCCTCAACTCTGTTTTCTGTGACTATATACTGGTACATGTTTACATATTTATTGCTGGAATTTTGTGTTAAATTCAAAATTTTGGCTTTTTTTTAAAAACCAGCATAACCTGAGAGGACTATCTCTTAACTGGCAGATAGTGGGAGAGGAACTCAATCAGGTACAGAGAGATGTGATAAGAAGCTGCAATGCAGGTGCATCAGGTGATATATATCACAGGTTGACAGGCACGTCCAGTAATCTAGACTCTGAAGACTATATTCTTTTCAGCTCTATCTGTGTAGTTGGGAAACTTTTAGTGACAGAGGAGTGAATTTGACCCGGAGTATTTGATGTTTTGGTTATTCTGTAAAAGTCAACTTCTGTCATTTGGGAATATTCGGGGGGGTTTATGTTTTATTATTGTTTGTGGTGGAGTCTTTATACCCTTATGTCACTTGAATTCAAGAATCTTAACCTATAGTTAAAAATTTCATTTCATCACACAAGGAATATCATTTGGTTGTAATTCTCTTATGCCTATTATCTGAACAATGTCATCTAGTATAAGTAGTAATTAAAAAAATTATAGCTGCCTTAGTATATTTTCCATCTCCGATCTCTGCATATGGATTTTGAGAGGCCTCTGGCCTCTCCATAGCAGTGTGGAAAGGGTTACAGTAACTTAAGTTACCTGTCTATTTTAGAGTGTGTAAACTATGTTGCCAACAGAATAGACAGTCTTCATCTGCTCCAAGAACATGTTCTATTGTAGTTTGACTTGCATTTGTATTTCTTTTTGGATGTCCTTGCTGCAGAGCTGTAAGACTGTTTTGCTGTAGAGTGAAACAGCTTCTACAGAAGTTTTTACCTGGCTATGGCAGTTCTTAGACACTGCAGTCTCATGCAAAAATCTTTCTCACATGTGGTACTTGCATTCCACACATATGTGGAATACATGAGTGTAACTATTTAAAGCTCAACCTTTGTTTAACATTATTTCTACTTGAAGTTTACAGGATTTTCGTTTGGGGAAAAGTTTATAAATGGAGCTGAATTTTCTGGACACGGAGAATCAGCTAACATGGAAACATACCCTTTTTCATGAACAGAATTACTTTGCAGAGTAGAGTATCTCTTACAAGAGTATAGTGAAAGCTTGGCTTGCTTGGCCTAGTAGAATGAAGACAGTGCGTATGGCTGTCTTACGTGGAAGAGAGGGGGAGGTTATAGGCTAAAGGACAATGCTGTCAAAAGGAAAAAAATGAGTATAAATTTCTGGTGGTTATTTTCCAGCAGGGGGGAGAGGATTTGGAACACATTCCCATGTTTTTGTCTTAAAGTAGAGTTAGACTAGCTTAGTAGATTTACACTGCAGGGTTAGAGATAGACACAGAAGGCATTCCTGAGCTATCCACAATTTCCCTTCCAGCTCTCTTTTCCATAAAACATGTCTCTGAGTTAGTTGAATTATATGCTGAGATGGCAAAACTGCAAGTCAGGATCTAAATGTGTGTTCCACATGTCCTTCACGGCTTATAGGTACTTTATCACAAATTCCACTTTGGGAATATTACATTTTACTCTCTGCACTGAGGTTTTAAGTAAGACAGGCTGATATTTTACGGAGATTCAGGACATGCTTACGTGAACATATAGAGGCAGAAGTCTAAAAAAGGGCATCCCCCTATGAATGGCTCTTAGATGTGCGATATTGGGAATGTTGCTATGCCAGCTTTCTTTCATAAGGCTTGCTGTATAAAGAGGGTCTGGGCAGTACTTGTTGGGTTGTGAAAGTTTCTGGAGAATGTGATCAAGAATACTTTCTCATATATTGGATATGCCAGTTCATGAACAGGATTTGTGATCCGCAGCATGAATTTTGTCTCTGTCTTGGATTTGGAGACAGCCTGCCCTAAGAACATCCTGTTTATCTCATAGTACAAGTAAACAAGCAGTTTAAACCATCTTGCCATTTGCCATATGGTGCAAGTGTCACTAAGACACTGTTGAGTAGCTCAAGTACTTCAAGTTTAAACCTTGTTTCTGGTTCTGTTCAGCAATACATACCTGCCACTGACAGAATTTGATTGTTCAATGTAATTTTAAAACTGTTGTATTTTATTTCTAGGCCAAAAGCATTGCATGAAATTCCAGCCTTCTACTGCCCTGACAAGAACAAAGTGAATTTCATTCCTAAAAGTGGCTCTGCTTTCTGTCTTGTCAGCATCCTCAAGCCACTTCTTCCCACACAGGATCTCACACTTAAGGGCACTACTCACAGCCTGACTGTCTCCTCCGGCATGACACCCAGTTTGTTACAGCCCATTTCTATGGCCTCCTTGTCTACAAACACAGATCAAGACAGGATCTCTCGTGGAACAAGTACAGTAATACCACAGACCTCTATACTCCAGCAATCGGGACATATTGAGGAAACTGAAGGATAGATTTAGATTGTCTTGACATTTCTCTGGGCAACTACTGGGAAAAAATTGGAACCAGTTGACTGGACCTTTCGATCACACTATTTGCATTGTTTTAACAGTTTATGGCACTGTCATAATTTGAACTGTTTATATAATTGACAGTTTGGTAGCACATTGAGAAGTTCAGAAGGATGCAGCAGCTTGATGCTCTGTTGCACTTTCTGCTTATGAAGACTCTGGTTCTGTTTCTCTCCTGCTTTTTTAAACACTGGTGAAAACAAAGACTGTCATAATCCTTTGCCATTTAAAGGACCACTTGTGATGCTGTGTGTCCTTTGACTTTTTTTCCCCATTAAAACAAAAATCTCAAGACCAACCAGCTGATCCCATTTACCATTGTAATCTGCAGAGGGAGGGGCAATCAGATGGTTTTGCAAGATGTCTTTTGTATGAAAATGTGTATTTTGTAACAAAAATTTGCCTTTTCTTGTGTGTAGCAGATGGTGTTTAGAAGACACTTTCCTGATGACGACACCCCCCTCCCTTTTCTTTTCTTTTTTTTTTTAAGGGAAGGTTCTTTTTTACTTGGCTGTTTTACAGCTGCTGGGACCAAAGGATTGTTGAAGTATTTCAGCAGTCTCAAATTATGTGACCTTGCTGAACAGCCTCAGCCCTAAACAAAGTAAGGCAAGTTAATACATTTGAAACTTTTAACACAGAAAAGTATCCAAAAAGCAGTGTTAGTATATTAGTGTACACTTTTTTGATATCAGAAGTTTGTGCTTCAGGTAAGTCACTTTCTTAAAACTCCTTCCTTCACAGAATTCTCACCAGTGTTTGTTTATTGGCTGGAAAATTGCATTTTAAAGCACTTTCCCCAGTATTGTTCTATTTGTCCATAGGGTTTTTGTGCAGGGTTGGGGAAAAAACATGTTCTCCTCTTACTTGGTATTTTTTCTTCCAGAAAATATGCCACTTGCCTCTTACAGGCTTGCTTGGCTACTTACGGAGTTAGTCAGCCTGAATTGTTGGTCACTCTTGGCACAAATTTGCTCTGACATGACTCATCACTGTATTATAGACCCTGGCCACATAATACTGAAATATCTGTGCATGATTTTTTCCCTTTTGTCATAGTGGATTTTTGTGTGTCTGTTGAAGATGGTTTGTCAGGCATGGTATCTGTTACACAGAAGTTTACAGCAGCAGATACATTCTGCCTTTTTGACTAGCAACTTAGGCTGGCATGTAAAACAAAGGATTTTTTGATACCTGGTCTGTCCTGATATGCAGCAGTTTATGGTTCCTTTGAAATTACAATAAAAAGATTAAAATGGGGGGGAAAGGCAATTGCAAATGAAAACTGTTCAGCCACTTCAGTGAGGTCTCTTATATGTTCCTGGAGTGCATTACTTGGGTTTGAGTAAATACAGGTTAGATATGCAAAAAACTGCAGTGACCTGAATACCAATGTCATATCAACTTATAAAACAAATCGATCTTGTACCTCTTTTACAGAGTTAGATTCAGTAATTTCAAAGTAAGTGTCATCATGGACAGTCTCTGGGTCTGAATATTGGTCTGTTACACATGAGCAGTTTTCACTGGTTTGCATATACATAGCTTCCATGGATCAGTTCCATACTCAGGTCCCCTCATAACTGCATCTATTTAAAGATGATACTGCAAATATAACAGTTTTGTTCAGTGCTTAATATGCTAAATTTGGTTGTAAACATTGTCACTTGGGAGGAAAAAAAGCCCTGCATACTTGTGCAGGTAGTTGTAGTTTTGATACACATTTACTGTTCCTTTAAATTCTGCATAAGTAACTGTGATAGCAATGTACTTTACTTAGCAAGTAAGTGTAAATCATACTAGCATGCGCAACTCCTGTGTTCATAGTATAATGAACCCTTATTAAAACGTTATGCAAAAATTCAGCAAATTAAAAATGTACCAGGAATTATTAAAATATTAGACCTGTTAAATTAACTAACAAGCAGAACTTGGTTTATTATCATTCTTTCCATCAAAATAGATAGGATTGTGCAGATGGGACTAAAGAACTCTGTTTTGAACTAACAGCTCTGATACAATGAAGAAGTTGTTGAGGGACAGAGTTTTAAAGTAAGTGGCTTTGTGCAGCACATTTTTGTAATTTGGCCAGTTGATAGTTCCTTTCTAGGCTTTGTGAATATTAATTAGTTTCTTCTGAAACAGTTATAGTGCAATTTGAAGTCTAAAATTTACTGCTTTAGATAAACCTGGTATGATTGGATTCATGGAAGGTCAGATCATTCAGGTGAAGGAAGTGCTTGTAAGTCTGTGTTCTGTTTCTGTAACAGTAGCATGTAAAGAGTTTCTCCATCAATGCCAAGCTGCCTAGTGCTTTATCCGGAGATCTTAACTGAATGGTTAAGAACCAAAGGGCTAAAGTTAACAAATAGCCTTTATTACAGCCTTGAGACTTAACTGACTTCACCAAACTGCATTCAGATGTGTGTTTTCATCACAGAGTGACTCTCCCAAATAGCAGTGGACTTTCTTTTGCACCTGTTGTAGTACTTGAGCATCGATTTGGTAGTTTACATTGTATGTTATTGGACAGTGTACTGTACAAATTAGTGAGCTGCTCTGATAAAAACCAAATGTAAATGTGTGAGGTTTTTGCTTTTTATAGAAACAAACTGCATTCAGGACAACATTCAGTCTTTTTTATATTCAGGACAACTCTGCTATTGCTGTGGCAGCTCTACTTTATTATGAATACACGCTAAAGACTCAGCATTAAGAAAATATGACAGCTCTTGTTCTGAGACCAGCTTTTACATGTGTGCATACAAATATTAGCCTTAAACTTTTTATGTGCTGTCTTGTGCCAGAGCAGAGTTGTTAAATAAAGTATTTAAATTTATTTCAAAATAGCCTTGAGAGTGCATGGAGCTTTTTAAAAATTCTTTTATGTATAGAGTGGGGTATTCAGTTTTTTGGGGGGGGGGTTGATCCATGCATTACTCAAGCAGTTTTACTGAAAGAGTTCAAGTTCTTTTGGCATACTTTAAATCTGAACTATGCATAGACCTGGTCAGTTCCTTGATTGCCTACTTTGTAGCTTAAGAAAAATTAAAGGTCTATTTTTATGCACAACTTGGCACACTTGATATTCCTGTTTTCTTGGTGTTTTACACTTCTAGCCACACTTAAAGGCTGGCGACAGTGTTCAGTAACACTGACAGTTGATTTTGAGATATACTAAATGGTGTTCCTCCAGTTGTAAATCCTGCATAAGTCACAAGGAAGGAGGTCATCGTTGTAATTAAGGTCTGTGGTGGCAGCTATGACTATTGGAATCCTTTTTTCTTTTTTTTTTTTTTTTAAAAAAAAAACTCCAACAAATCAACTCAAGGCACAAGGGAAGAAGACATCTGTGTTAAACTTTGAACTTGCTTCAGCTGTTCTTTCCTTGCTTGGTGCCATAATCCTGTAGCAACAAATTTAAGTACATGGAAGGTAAAAGATAGTGCTTGAGTACATATATCTTGGAAGGAAATTCTTGATTGCACATACATATCTCAAGTGAGAGGAAAAAGGGAGTGAAAATTAAGTATTGCATACTGTGGAAGTAAATGATTGCTGTGTTTGATTTACATAAAGCAATAGCAGCTCTTTAAAAGTATATTTAGTCTCAGGGCTATTTTTTGGTTTGTTCTAAAATACAGTTTCCTGGAGTTGAGAACCTGAGATTGTTAGAAAACACTGAAGCTGAGCCTTTTAGGAAGAAAAACACAAAGTCATATCCGTTAGCCTTTCTTCTGCCTCAGGCCTAACTTCTTGTTGCTTATTGGGACTAATAGAATTCAGTGTTACAGCAATAATTCCTTGCTAAGTATATATTCTCTCCCTGCCATCTCTGAAACACTGATGTCTTCACAGTAACTCACTGCCAGTGAAATCCCTGTTTCCTTGCTGAATACCTGACAGCTTCTCTGTGAAAGGGTGAGAGAGAATGCATAAAAGACTTGCAGTTACAAAGATCAGTGCTGCAGGGTGACTTCTTGGATATCTTGATTTCCATTTGACTCATGAGCACAGACACATACAGTCTGTGTGGGTCTGTTGCTTTTATCTTTATGGTTCGAGGCAGGACTGGTATTTGAAAGAACCTTTTTTAATGGACAGACTGCAGACCTGTTCCCATCCAGAACTGATGTGCACTTAGATGTATCTCCAAAGCAAAGCTTATGTGTAATTCTTACTTGTTCTCATGAAATGAATATAACCTGCAAAAAAGACCTTTGACATAAAAACATCCAAACACTTGAGAATGTCAGGACTGTGCTTTCTCTATATAATTCCATAGTTTTAAGTGTGTGTCCTTTATCAGATGTCATAGCCTAAAGATGTTGTTATGGTTTACACCCAAACCAGGTTGGCATGTATTAAAACAAAAATGTTTGCTCTTAAAAAAAGTAATAGCACCTACATCTTTCTTAACCTAGGGAGATGAAAAGCACTGTGGAAGAATTGGTTTCATTGTGATCAAAGATTTCTTATGGAATTGTTTTTCTAAACCTGGGAATCCCAGGGAACAAAATGACCACTGATTGCAAGATGTACCTGTATATTTTCTTGACATGAGTTTGTGAGTGTTCAGCAACTCTAAAAATCAGTTCTGCTCTTAGCATTTTGTTTATACAAAGAATGACCTAGATGCATTGTTCTGAAACTGTTACTTTGTGTGTCAAGTCAAGTGAGGAGAGAAGGTTAACTATTCACAAATGTTTTGTGAAATTCCAGTCCTGTACCCCATCTGAACTGCAACAGTTTCTGAATGCTCCAAATGTAAATGGAGTCCTGTTAGCTGCTTGCTCGATTTCATTGCATGTCATCAGTAAATACTTAAGGTACGTGCATCTTTGTTTAATAATTCTTCATTGGGATGTGTATTTGACTACGGAGACTTCTGTAGTGTTGACAGGTTTGAATTGCAGAAGAGGACTTGGCCTGATAACACTGCAAGTTAATATTTCTTACACAAATTCCTTCTGAAACAACTATCTTTGGAAAAATCTAGTAAACTAAAAAAAATGTAAACCCTTTCTGGTTACCTCATCTACCCTAATTAACAGTGTACTGATAGTTAAAGAACAATATTGCTTGGCTTTATTCTAAATTATTTCATTTATTGAAATGTGCAATTTTTGAGGGTAGCAGTCAGGGGGTGTCCAAAATTGCCATTAGATATGCCTTTGTATGAGTTGGCTGATGTGTTTTCCTCTGTTACACTGTGATAACTTGTGGAGATGTTCTTGCATATGTTGTAATGATAGGTTACTTGTTGCATGTAAGGCGATTTTTGTAAGCAAGAGGAATTCCAGGGATGTTCTGCAAAAAAAGGGCCTATTCTGAGTTGATGTACACTGGTGTAAAACTGGAGCAGCTCGACTAATTTCAATGGAATTCTTGATTTACACTAGTGTCTTTGCTATGTGTAGTTATGCCAGTACTACTTTGCACAATATTATTTTGAATCTTGAGTTCTGACTTGTGAACTGTTTCTACTGAAAACAGTGAAAATTTTACAAACTGCAATAGTGGAATGGTTTTGGGCTTTTTTTTTTTTTTTGCCTGAAATAAAGAGTCATCACTTTGAGCTATGGATTTGTATTTATTTTTAGTAGCAATGGCTTTTGTGTGCTCTGACAGCCTGAAGAGTTGTCTGAGGATTTACCCTGAGGGTAGTAGGTGTTTACTTAGAATAAAATATTCACTTTTAACCCTTTCACAGAAAATTAATCAGGGTGGAAATCTCTGATTAATCCCTACCCTTATTCCTGCAGTACATCCTCAAAATAGTCCTGAGAATCTGCCTTTCCCCATCTTCATCTGCAGTAGGTTAAGTCAGTTCCTGAGCACTTTACAATTCCACTATTAGGGGAAAATGCCACAAGTCGTGGATTTTGGGTACAGGGAGATTCAGCATGTGTTCTCCTGGGAGTGAGGCTATGGGAACAGTACTGAGAAAAAAGACCTGGATTCTTGCTGGTAGGTTCATGCTACTATTCTGGAGAATGCAACTGCTGAAGCTGGCCTGGGAAGGTACTTAGACTGTTTGGTGAAATAGTCACTATTTACATTAGAAATAGTGAGCTAGATAAATTATGTAATTTGGGGCTTCTTGATAGCTCTTTAGTAAATATAAGTCTAATTTGTCAAAAAAGGCTTGGAGTGATTCTCCTGGAAAATCATTGTCAGCTATCTTTCATTCCAGAATGGAGAGAGGTAGAAGATTTCTCTGAATCTCAAGGAATTGAAGGATTTTCAGTGTGTCCCCCCAAAGCCAAGCTGGCTTGTGCTTTTCTATTGGTGGAAAGGGTTGGGCCAGTACAGCAGCATCAAGTTCCCAAGAGTGTGCATTTCACAGCCAGAGTCCTTGGGTAAATTCACACCTAACTCAGAAGCTGCTTGATTAAAATGTAAAAGAGGAATTCACAGCTGTTGGAAGTCTGGAGCAGAAGAGTCTTCTGTAGTTGATGCTTTCTCACATTTTATTCTTTTTTACCCATTCAGTTGTCTGCAGATGTTTGCCTGTCTCCAAGGTGAACAGGACCTGATTCTTTATTAAATAGGCTGTAACCACATTCTCTGTTAAACTATTTCTTCACCACCAATTGCAAATCTAGTATTTATGGTTTCACACATGTAATGATTTTGTTGTAAATACATCTGGTGTTTAAATTCCTTCCACACCTTATATTGCATATAGGTAAACTGCAAGACACATTAAGAAGCTGATGAAGACAGAGAACTGAAAGAGTAACTCTGTGTGGTGAGCAATTGGACAGTCCTCCAATTCAGATTTCACTGTGAGCAGTTTCGTTTCTCAGAGTTGCTCGTTTTGTTTCTTCAGATAGAACCAGTCAGGAGGCAGACTAGCAGAATTTTGTGGGTATCTCAGCTTTTGCTTTGAGTTACGTTTGAGTGTGTAGCAAATTGGTATGGAAGTTGTAAGCCACGGCTGCATGTGTTTTATCCTATCCCCTTGTTCTCTTGGCTCTCTACTCAGCATTTGGATGTTGTCATCCACCCAGACTTTGAAACATTTCAGATGCTACTGTCCTAAAATATTCCTTCTGTATACAGCATTTACAGAAGCACTGTTCAGCAATCAGACATAAACTGGTTAAGTGCTACATACGGTAAACTTATAGTTAGAATAGCGTGGAGGAAGTAATTCAGGTGAAGTTCTCCCATGCTTGAAATAGGCTGGATTCATTACCACTGCATGTACCGTTTTTCCAAGTCTTACTCCTGCCAAATAAGCCTTATTTGCCACATCATGCACTGTTTACAGAGCCCTGATTCACATACCTGAAGTCACAGCCCTGTAACTAATGCTTGTATTGATGTAGGAGCATGTCCATAATGAATAATGCTTTCACATTGTGGTGACATTGCTTGTAGGAAAGAAAAAAAAAAAATAAATCCTGTAGTAGATAAAAAAATAATTACTGCAAGCAAAGTAGAGCATTGTTCATTAATTCCTACCTTTACGAGCATGGGTACGTTAACTGCTGTGATTAAGCTGTTGGTTAAGAAACTGTTTGTTACATGGTATATTGTGGATGCCTTATCTAACTATAGATGTGTAGCTGACCAGTGTAAACACTGCTTCACTGTAAATAATAGTTTCACTGTAGATGGAAATGGCTATAAGGGAGGTTTCCCTGTTTCCTGGCAGTAGGTGCAAGTTTCTGAACAGTGAGTGCTGCCAGAATTCATCTGGCTGTGTGTGTCAGGAAGGCAGGAGGTGAGAATCTGTTCTGTTTGCACTTCTTCAAATTTCTGAACTTCAAGTTAATTACAAGTTAGGACAGGCCTTGGCCTACAACATCTTGTTTTGAACAAATTAACAAAAGGGCTACATCCTGGTCTAGCCCAAATCTTTTGCATGGGTTTTGCAAATTAAAGATTTTAATAATGTCTTAAAAATATCCTTCTGTATACAGAATTCATAGAAGCACTGCTCAGCTGCAAGACATACGCATGTGCTGTGCAGGGTAGATGAAGATCTACAGTAGAATCTGGTTTACAATTTTCAAGTAAAATTACCTATAATTGCTGCAGTGAATACAGTTAACATCAGCTGGGAAACTACAAACTGGGCTGAGCAGTCAGATAATTGAGTTACATCTCTCTTGAGATTAAGTTTTTGTTTCCATTTTCTGTTTAAATAGATCAGTTTAATAAAACAAAACAAAACAAAGCCCACAACGAAAAAACCTCCAGGACCCTAGACCATTCTCAACAGTTTGAGAGTTGTAGATATTTAATCCTTTGGTAAGAGGTTGCTTAATAACATGTTCCTGTGCTATGTATGGAACAACTCCCTTTCCCCACACAGAAAATTATCTTTTCCTAACAACTTCTGATGCAAGCTGTAAATCATGTCTTCAGCCCACAAAGTTGACCTTCAGGTTTCTGGGAGCCGTTAGCTAAATTTCAAGAAATTTCTTTGTCCTTGGCGATGTCCTTGACCCAAGAGTAGGATGGGTGGCAGCATTCTCTTGCAGGTGTGTAACAGCTGCTATCCCAAACCACCGATATCCATCCACACTGTAAGCTAAACATATGGCAAGTGGCAGGTCACTTAGTTCGGGAATTACAACATGGAGTGATTCTGATCTTAAACTGTAACCTCTGGACAGCATCAAATGCTACTCAAAGCTACTCAAAGACCGTAGTTTCATAAATGTGTCTTCAATTGCACTGCTTGTTTAAAGCAGTATCACCTACCTACCTACCTGTTCTTTGCTTCCACAGCACCTTCAGTTGTGCCATACATCTCTTTTTAGAGCCACAACCCCAGTTAAAATAGCCTTTGAAACCCTCGGCTCTGCAGTCAGAACTGAAAGGACCTGAAATGCAAGAGCAGCTAGAGTTGCATAAACTAAAAGAAATGTTCAAATTGTGTCCTGTAGTGTATTTAATTTTCCATGGCCTAAGACTTTACTGGAACCCACAGAGGGTCAAGGCTGGTTTTTGTGCTGCGAGAAGTTAATTACAAGTTAAGGCAGAACTCGACCAGTGTCATCTTGTACTAGGCAAATTCATAAAAGGGCTACCTTCTGGCCTAATCTGGATTTTTGTGTGATTCCTTGACAATATCAAGATTTTAACCATGAGATACCCAAGTCCCCTCATTTTTGGCACACTGGATCTATATTTCTAACTGTAGTGAAAACAGTGCAGAACCTGTGCTCAGCCTTACCTTTGTTGACAGAAAAGGTCCTGTGAAATTGCAGGTAGACAGCAGAATGATTCTAAAGCTTTTAAGTGCAGTTAAAAATGGAAAGTCATGGCTTCCTCGGGGTTGGGAAATGATACCAGTATCCTAGCCACTTTTATGTCCCAAATACAGTTTTGCTGTTTCAGAGGTGTGGGTCTAAGCATGTGATTTCCTTGAAGATAAAACAATTAAAAAGAGTCCATTGTATGCCCTAGAGTATTTTCCTGGAACTAGTATTTGCCTGGTAACCCCAGGGATTTTATTTTTAGAAGACGATGAGATAAAAAGTAATTAGCTAGATCTAGTTCCACCCCCCCCACCCCCTTCTTTTTTCCTCTGTGACGTATCGGAAAACAAATATTTTCTGCACTGACTGAACCATACCAGCTTATTAGGCTTTCAAACAGCTCTAAAATGTCCCAAACCCAAGTTGTTAGTCTGATTTTTCTCATAGTAGGATACTTCAGTGCTGTTCTCCTTGCAACTTAATTGTCCACCCTCATGCCAGATATGATGTGTTTGGAGCTGGGTTTTAAATATTCTTTCCTAATGGTAAAATAAAATCAGTCTGTTTAAGACTGTAACAAAATACTGTAAGTATTTTCCTGTTGGATAACTCTATAAACATTAAGTAGTTCATCTGCTGAATATCCAGCGGCATCTGGATTTGAAAGGAGATCCAGATCTGCAAAAAGACTGAACCATGTTGATACAGCTTCAGTCATATTCTGAACAGCTAGAAAAAAGGTAAGATGAAGTAATAGTTTTGTTAAATCTAATAGTATTTTTGAAAATTAAAAAAAAAAATTACCTCAGGAAGCTTCTGTAGGCAAACAACTAACAACTCAAGTATTTTCTTGTCTCAGCAAACCAGAAATGCTAGCCTAACTTGAAATGATTGGTATATACAATAAAGTGGGAGACTGAGTTGCTTCACAAGTTGAATGCAATTTAGAGTATGTTACAGATAATCTAGATTTAAGGATTTACTGAAGTAGAAACTGTTGGTGTTTCTTACAAAAAAAATATTTCATAATCCAATATAGAACACAATCTGCTTAATCCTTTCGGCCCTCCCTCAGCATGAGTTCGATAACATGAGGCGGACTACAGCGAGCATTAAATACTGTGTGAGAAGAGTGTTTATGTTGCTTTTTCCTCTTCACTTACTGGCACTTTTTTGGGCGCTAATGGAACTTAGAGTATGCAAAGTGTAGAACAAATTCTCTTCCTGTGCCAGGAGTGTCCTACTGCTGTCTAACACTGTAGCATCTAGTGCTTTTGCTTCTAAGTGCAAAGTGTGGTTGACCTCTGAAAGAGGAAAAAAATGGATTTGTGGTTAACTTCTCAAGTAA